AATGGGCTTACTGTCTTCTTTCTTAATGAATTTTATCCAAATGGATACTTGATTGTCTCAAACAGCATTTATTGAGTGGTGTCCTGGAATTTACAAGAGTTGATTCTTAAAATTTCAGGGGTTTTGTGAGAATATATTTAACGTGTGCATAGCTTGAAGTAAGTCATGCTGGGGGTATTTGTGCCATGGATATTGACAAATGCTACAAATCAGGGTATTCCTAGTCCTCAGAGAGTTCATCAACTACTACACCAGTGGAAAAGACCATCGCTTCTGCACTGCCCCAGTTTCATTCATCTCTGTCATGAATCCTGTCCATATCCATGTGGATTTATTTCTATGCTATGTCTTCTGTATCATTCTTTCCTTTATCTATGCCCATGCCAATACTATGCTGCCTTATAAACTATAGCTTTATAATAACTCTTGATATCTGGTAAAGCAGGTCCTCTTACCTCCTAAGAGTATCTTGCTCATTCTTGGCTCTTAACATTTAAAATTTTAGAACCAGCTTACCTAGTTTCTAAATAAAAATCTGCTGAAATCTGTCATTTATCTTTGGCTACAGTGTTTCTTCCCTTGCAGAACTTTATTTTTATGAAAAAAAGATTTATCAACCTTTTTCTTTATAGATTACAGGATATATGTCATAAGATTAAAATTCCAGCTTAGGTTTTAAAATTTCCTAGTACTCTATTCTATCATTTAATGATTTCCTTAATGATTAAAATCCAAAATTTAAAACTTTTGGTCCACCTGGAGTTTATATCATAATAAAGTATGGAGGTAGGCATCCAACTTTCTTCCTGTTTTTTCCAAGATAGCTAAACTATGATCGCAGTAACAATTATTGAGCAATCTGTCTTTCCCTACTGATTTTAAGTGCCACCATTATCATAAACAAAATTCCTATAAGTATTTCTTTTATTCTTGGACTGCTCTCTTGTTTTATTACCTGTTTATAATACCATTGTTCCATAGAAATATTATTTTAGCCACAAATGCAAGCCATATTTAATTTAGAATATCCTAGCAGTCTCATTGAAAAAGTAAAAAGAAAAATGATGTGAAATTATTTTTAATATTTTACTTAATCTACTATAGCCATTGTATCATTTCTTATTTAAAATCTTTAATGTTATTTATTTCTGAGAGAGAGAAAGAGAGAGGGAAGGGGCAGAGAGAAAGAGAGACAGAGAATCTGAAGCAGGCTCCAGGTTCTGAGCTGTCAGCACAGAGTCCTACTCGTGTCAAACTCACAAACCATGAAATCATGACCTGAACCGAAGTCGGACCCTTAAACCGAGCCATCCAGGTGCCCCACAATTGTATCATTTCAACATGAAATCAATATATAGAGAAAATTACATTTACATTCTTTTTTTCATATAAAGTCTTCAATATGTGTATTTTATTCTTACAACACGTATCAGGTGGGGTTAGCCATAGTTCATGTGTACCGAGCCACATGGGGCTAATGGCTACCTTATTAGACAGCTGAAGTCAATATTTTTGTTACAGCAAGTCTACAGTAGCCTTAGCTCTTTGGCTAATTTAGCCCTCCTTGTAGGGTCTGGCCCTTCCAGGTTTGGTTCAACGAGACATTTTTCACTTATTGATTGGAAGGAACTTCATCATCTTTTAGCTCTGTGTGACTTTGGGAATTGTTCGGCTTACTAATATACAGCATTTTTGTGTTTATTATTCTTTACTTAGTTTGCAATTTTGGTTTGGGTTTTCTCTTTGACCAACAATTGTTTCAGAGATCTTTAAAAATTTTGAGATGGTGGGGTTTAGGAGTTTTATCTTTCAGTTTTCTGGTTCTATTACTACCTTTTAGTTATACTGCATTATAAATAAATTTATCTATACTATACTTTTTGAAAATTACTGAAGTGTCCTTTGTAGCCTAGTAAAGTCACTGTGATTATGCCATTAACTTCCATAAACAAGGATGTTATGCACTTTTTAGAGTAGAGATTGTTGGTTGACTTTGAGTTAATGTTAACAATTTGAGCATACAAAATAAATTTAAACTTACAAAAATGCAATATATATGTATGTGTAAGTGTATGTGTGTATGTGTGTGTACGTGTTTATTTTGGGTGCCAGTGTAAGATTTCATCTTAAAAATGAGATTTAGTGCAAACAAGGATGTGAAAGACACTAGCCTAGATGACCTTGAATGTGTGAAACGTGAATATAAATTTCTGAAGACCTTTAGTGACCCCTGAGTGGAGATGATATCAAAGGATACCTAAAGTATTCTTTTGTCTCACTTTCCATTCCTGTTCTTTCCCCCCCCCTGTACAATAAGCTAATTAAAAAATATCTACATTACAGAGACCCGAGTGTTACACCAGTGTGTTATCAACAAGTGAGATCACATTAAACAGTTTTTAATTGGTCTTAGGAAAAGCAAAGGTGAAATGAAAATTTAATTCCCCTAGCCCTTTGTTCAAAAGGCATTTTTCCATCTGCATTGTAAGGAACACATTTTAATTAGCTTGATTTTCACCGTTTGGCCATGCATTTGTGATCTTTGGTCACACTTCAGGAAAGAACATTTTGATGAAAGAAATTGGACAGTAGAGGAACTCTTGTCTGAGCAGAGCAAACTGTAATTATCAGCTATGTGGCAGGATGACTGGCACAGTGCAGCTGGGGAAAGAAGGAAAAACACGCCTTTCCCTGACATGCCCCTGTCCCCCCTGGCAGTTTTACCCTGCACACAGAGAGAGCATTTTGGAGTGGAACATGCTTTAGTGCCAGGCGGTTGGGTTCAAATCCTGCCTCTGACCCTTTGTGGTAGGTCACTTAATTTCCCTGATCCTCAATTTCTTCACCTGTAAAAAGGGATAATAGCATCCTCCTTGTAGCCTCATGAGGATTGAAATAAATCAATAATGTGAACACATTTGGCACGCAATAGGGGCTCAGAGAATAACTAAGAGGAACATTTCAAAGGAAGGGTCTGTGGCCAGGCTGAATACCTGTGTGGTTCCCAACCTGTTTTCTATTGAGAAGAAAGAAGTGGACAGGGCTGGGGACGCACATATACGCTGCTGTTGCCGGCCATTGGTGGTGGAGGCTAGGCTCTTCCTCGTCCTCCTTCTCAGCGTCTCTGGGACAGCAAACAACCAGTGCCTTTTGCAGAGGAGTCCATTTAGGACTCGGATGTGTCCTTATGAAAGCCCCAAGAGTCCACACTTGCCCTGTGCGTCTTGTGGGGCCGCTTTAAGATCATAAGACCATGGAGGTCATTTAGCTAAGCACAGTGCCCTAATAAGGAAAGGATTATCTTTTTTTTTTTTTTTTTTTTTATCCTGAGACAGGGTGAAAATTAAATATTCCCTGTGGCACTCTGACCATGTGCCCAGGTTTGGGTTGAGAAAACACAACCCCTACATCTCTATGTGCATCATTCAGGAGTTCTTTCTACAGCACTTTTTATGCTCCCAGAATGCCCTTCCTGTTAGAAGTGCAGACTCAGGGTTTGCTAGATCTGGGCTAATTTTTAAGTTTCTCACTCACTCTTGGATCGTTGTGGGGAAGCATCTATCTGGACACTCCAGTTTCTTCATCTTTAAAATGATCACACCGCAGGGTGGTCCCTGCGATTCTTGAAGGCTGCTTTTAGCTAGGCCCTCGGGATGGACGCATACAAGGGACCTATTTTCTTCCTTCGAGGCAATGGTTCTCCACCTGGGATGATTTTCTCCCCCGAAGGGACATTTAGTGGTGTCTGGAGGCATTTGGCTATCACTGTTGGGGGCGGGCATGTAGGAACTAAACACCTCACAGTTCACAGGACAGCCTTCTCCGCCTCCATTCCCTATGATTTTGGAATTAGAAGCTGAAACGGGTCCATTAGAAGTTTTCCTCTCTCTCTGAAGAGAGGGAAAATGTCCGGGTCCTTAATGCCACGTTTACGCCATGTCCCTGTTGGGGGTGGCCTTGGTGTCCTGGTCGCAGCTCCCTCCGAAAGGACGCGCCCACGATCAGGGGCATCCAGGAGGTGTGCGTGACATTCTCAACCGTACACCTGCTCCCAGTTACAGACTTCCCGAGGGCCCCGCTGTGCGGAGCACAACCGAGAGGCGGGGGTCGCGCTGCTCCAGTCCCTCCGCAGCAAGGGTGGCTTTGGAGAAAGGCAGGGCTTCAATGGAGCCTCTAGTAGCTTCCTTGTAGCTCACTTCGTGAGGCAGCGCCCAGCCCGGCGGTGCGCTGGCAACACCCCCGAGGTTCGGAAAGCAGGGCGCGGAGCAGGCAAGGGCTCACTGGCTCCCCCAGGGCGGCGGGACCAGCCGGCAGGCAGGCCACGGACGCGGGCACCCGGGCCCAGCCGCTCCCAGGCTTGCAGTGGCACGGCGCCTGAAGGGACGTTAGGGCAGGGAGGGGAAGTTGGTGGTTCCCAGCCTCGGCCGTGGACTAGGAGTCCCGGAGCGCACGCCAGCTTTCCCGGGGCCGCGCCTGCCCGGAATGCGCTTCGGGACACGAGGCGACCCTGCCTCGGCGGTGGCCGCGTGGGCGGCGGGGGAGGTGGGGCCACCCGTTGCCCTGTGCTCCGGAGCCAAGATCTGATTTCGGGACCATGCCTGCGTGCTGAGTCAAGCCCCGCCGCTGGGCTGGGTCCGCCGCGGGGCCGCCGAGCCCTGCGAGCTGCAGTTAATGATTAATCGCAGGCCGCTCCGCCCCCAGCAGTTCAGGAGTGGGTGCTCCGGGAGGGTGGGTTGGGGCCGCAAGCTGCGGGCAGCCCGGAGGCGGAGGGGAGGGCCCTCTGGCGGGTCGCGCCGGGGGTGCTTCGGGACTCACCCCCCCGACCCCCCCAGGGGAGACCAGGACCTCCTTCCTCCGCTCTCTCCCCGCCTCGCTCCTGCACACACACCCCAGACTCCACCCCCAGGCGCCTCCCGGGCCCCTGCGAAGTTGGACTGCTCCAGGAAGTTTCCATGAAAGCACCAGAAATACTAAGTTACTCCTTTCAGGTGAGCGCGAATGAGAAAGCCCTGGGCCGGCTCTGGTGAGCTGCAGCCCAGAACCCTGGGCTCTGCGGGGAGGAAGAAGGCGAGCTGAGAGGTCTTTGGACCTGGTGGCGTGGCTTTCATCCCCATGGCTTCGCACAGCGACTGCTCCTATGTCATCGATCACACCCATGTCCCCGAGTTCGAGGTGGCCACCTGGATCAAAATCACCCTCATCCTGGTGTACCTGGCCATCTTCGTGGTGGGCATCCTGGGGAACAGTGTCACCATTCGGGTCACCCAGGTGCTGCAGAAGAAAGGTTACTTGCAGAAGGAGGTGACGGATCACATGGTGAGCCTGGCTTGCTCCGACATCTTGGTCTTCCTCATCGGCATGCCCATGGAGTTCTACAGCATCATCTGGAACCCCCTGACCACGCCCAGCTATGCCCTGTCCTGTAAGATTCACACTTTCCTCTTCGAGGCCTGCAGCTACGCCACGCTGCTGCACGTGCTGACGCTCAGCTTTGAGCGCTACGTCGCCATCTGCCACCCCTTCAGGTATAAGGCCGTGTCAGGGCCTTGCCAGGTGAAGCTGCTGATTGGCTTTGTCTGGGTCACCTCCGCCCTGGTGGCGTTGCCTCTGCTTTTTGCCATGGGGGTCGAGTACCCCCTGGTGAGCGTGCCCAATCACCATGGGGAACTCCCGTGCAACCGCTCCCGCACGCGGCACCACGAGCAGCCGCACACGTCCAACATGTCCATCTGCACCAACCTTTCCAGCCGCTGGACTGTCTTCCAGTCCAGCATCTTCAGCGCCTTCATCATCTACCTCGTGGTGCTGGTGTCTGTGGCCTTCATGTGCTGGAACATGATGCAGGTGCTCAGGAGGAGCAGCCAGGGCACGGTGGCCGGGAAGGGGCGGCGGCCGCAGCTCAACAAGGCCGAGAGCGAGGAGAGCAAGACAGCCAGGAGGCAGACCATCATCTTCCTGAGTGAGTCCTGGGGGGCGGGGGGTACCCGGGGAGCCGGCCGCCACCTCCCCACCCCCTGCCTCCCCGTGCTCCCCTTCGCCAGAAGTCCCGCCTTGCAAGTGTACACTTCGGTGTGCTGGGGCTGAAGACGCGTTGCTCTGAACCGCTCGTGTTTCTTTTCTGTGTTTGGGGGACTTGGGGAGCGGTGAACAGAACCCTAGACCAGGAGTCCGGGTCTGGGTCTGTTTCAGAGCAGCAGCTCCGTGACTCTGACAAGTCACAAAATACCTTGAGTTAAATATACTGAGAACGGTGAGGTCAAATTAGGTAATGTGGGAGAGGTGAAAGTCCTCTGAGAGGGGCCAAGTTCTGTGGAGATAAAACGGAGCATTCTTATCTAGCTGCCTCCCCCCCCCAGAGAACCTCCGGCAATTCGGTTTGGTTCCCGTTTTCTCTTCTCCTTCTCTTCCCTTGGGAGAAGCAGGCTGCCCGGAACAGACAGTCTCCGGGTTGCGGTTACGTTCCTCTGGGGAGATCTCCCCAAGTCTTAAGAATCTGGAGCTCTCAGACACGTGGTCCTCAGGGTCCTGTCCAAGTTTGTGCTGTGTTGGCTCTGTACCTTTATCAGATCAGAGAAACGTGGCAAGTATGGCGCGCCTGTTTGTCTGATCCAGAAAATCTGGAGTCACAGGTTCCTGGGACTTGATTGATTATCCCCAGTACCCAATCCCGCTGCAGAGAAAAATGTTTGTTTTCCAAACTCTGTTGTGGTGCAGATATTTAAAGCCAGGGCCTTCTGTGTATCAGGAGGGAAGGAGCCCTTTAAATGGGGCATCAGGAAAAGGAATAAATCAAGGTGTTGTTTGTTTTGGTGTGGGAAACCTGAGTAACAGGGCCACGGGGTTGACGTGGAAGAAAGTCTGAAGGCATTTGAAGAAGGATGGAAAGACCCTGGTCTTGTCCCTTAACTGCTCCTGGTTTCTGTGTGTCTGTACAGCAGATTTGACTTTTCTGTGTCTGTGCAAAATGAGAGGAGAGAGTTTGCAATTTTTGGATGCCTGCTCTACATCAGGGGTTGTGCTACGTGGTTTATATTTCCATTTCACAGAGAAGGAATTTGGGTCTAGAAGAGAGAAGATCTAGTTCAAATAAGTACAGCTCCAACACTGTGACCTTGGTTCTCAGGGCTGGGAAGTGAATGGCTCCCAGGGGCTTCCACAGGCTCATGTTCAAGGGAAAATGAAACAGAACAGGACTTTGACAGGGAAGGTGCTACCTAGATGAGGCTGATGGTGTTGCTGCCTCCTAGGGCCAGCCTTTGTGGAAGTGGGAGCACGGAATCTGTGGTAGGTGTTGACATCTGGGAACTTGGGAAGGGCATCCGACCCAACTCAATCGGTCACCCACCACCTGCTGCCCAGAGTATTCCAGGAAGGAATGGACATTAGATTGGCTTGAATATCCTTTGAAAGGCTAGTTCTCTCTTCCCTCATATACCCTTAGGCATATCCTAAACTTTTAGTAGTAACTTTTTATACTATAGTGTGAATGAATCCCCTGCCCCCTCCCCCACTTTTTTTGAGTGCAGTGCACTACCTCCCACACTAATTAAGGAATTAAGGCTTCATTTGACCAAAGAAAAATAATTGATTTATTTTTGTTCCCTGTTGGACCAATTTCTTTATTTTTTAATTATTATTTCTCTGAATAGTGTATATTTTTTGTATTTCTCCCAATGGGTATTGTTTCCGAGTTGAAGTTAGCCTTCATTTGGTAGCACCACATTGGAATACTTTTACTTAGAGATGAATAGGACCTTGGGGATCATCTCATCCAGTTAGCAATTGCCTGCAATGAGTTTGTTCCCCCCGCTGCTCTCATTCTTTCCTTCCAGTTCTCTCTTTTCTTATAACAACTATGTATTAATCGCCCACTGCTTTCCTGGGCATAAAGATTGTTGACTGGCAATCAGGTGCTCAATGTGCGATTGTGTCTTGGGGGAATTTACCGTTTCTATTTAGCTCATTTCCTTTGCCGTGGGTTTTCAAAGCGCTTCTTCCAAATGTCCCCCTCTCCCAATGAATTGCAAAGAGCTTTTAAAAATAGGAACCTCACTAATTAACTCAAGTTAGGAAATAAATTAATGGAGTGAAGAGGAAGAAATCACGGCCTGCCTCCATCAGATTAATACAATGCAATTTACTTTGTGGGTTTCATAAAACTTAGGCTTTGGGGCATTTTTAACCCAGAACAACTGAATATATAAGTTGTTTACAAATCGCTGAATTTAGGATAGTGATTTAGCTGTCTTTTTAGCATTTCAGTTAACAGATGTATCAAATTAAAACAAATATTTGCTCAATTCAAACATATTTTGCATTTAATGTGAAATGTAAATGACGACATAGCACAAGATGTCTTTGGAGCTCTTGAGGCAGTAAAAAAACAATTAAGGATTTTCCCCCCTCGTTGTTAAAAATGCTAACTTCTGCATAACAGAAGCGAAATTCATAAATCTACCCAAGATGAGGAGGTCTATGTAGAAAATATTAATTTTCCTTTCTGCATCTTTTGCTATTGTGCGTCAGTCTGGTGGAGGTTCTGAGCCGGGTGAATCATGAAAATAGATTGGAAAATCAGGGAAAGAGAGCAATGCAGCGATGCCTCCCGGCTCTGAAGCAGTTAGCAGGAGAAAACAAGAGTCCGGGAAATGTGGCTCTTGCCTCTTGTCACCCAGTGAGAAATCAGTACCAGACATATTTCCTTTTGCAAGGTCATGGCTAATATGGCAATACTGGTCTGATGCTAGAACAGAGGTTGTTGGGCTGAAGAAGAGAAACTGCTGCATTGTTTATTCCTTGGATGTTAAGGATAGGCACAATAAACCTTCTTTTCCAAAGGGATTCCCAGACCTTCCGTTTTATCTTTTGGAACTCTCACGGAGTTATTCACGCTGCGTTGGCATCCAGGTCCACAGACACCCATGTTTGTGTCTGGGGCACATGTAGCTTGCTGTCCAAATGTCACCTGCTCAAAGTGAAACAACAGAGTAGTCTAAAAGAAGTATAGTTTTAATTAGTAATTTTCAAGAGCATTAAGTGGTTGAGACCAGGGTATAGTTCCCTCCCAGGATCTGTGGGCAGTGATTGGCTTTCACCGGTGGTCATGAGAAAAAATAAGTTTTACAGATAATCGTGAAATTACAAAATTAAAGAAACATCATAAAAAATTCAGAACTCCATCATGTTTACACTTCTTTGGATTCTGATTTCTTCTCCTGGAGTCATGGAAAGGGGAGTTGAATGCAGGTGCACGAATTGCAATATCAATGTGGGTGGTTCATAGGAGAATATCTTGAATATGGAGATCACCCATCAAGTGTACTTGGGTGGAAAAAAGATTAGGAGTTGCTGCGCTAGGGGCGCCTGAGTGGCTCAGTTGGTAAAGTGTCTGACTTTGGCTCAGGTCATGATCTCACAGTCCATGAGTTCTAACCCCACGTCGGGCTCTGTGCTGACGGCTCAGAGCCTGGAGCCTGCTTCGGATTCTGTGTCTCCCTCTTTCTCTGCCCCCACCCTGCTCATGCCTCTCTCTTTCTCAAAAGCAAATTAAAAAAAAAAAAAAAAGCATTGCTGCTGTAATGGACTGCTCTAGAAAAAAGGTTGGTGTGTATTTAGATATGTGTGGGGTCAGAGAAGGAGATAAGAATAATGTCCTCTGGGTCTTACACCCCAGATCTGGAGGTCAAGTCATGTCTCCTATGTGTGCCATTCAGAAAGTGGGGCGGGGGTGGGAGCTGAGAGGGTGCCAGTGCATCTTCTTTATCTGAGGATGGTGAGGACCTAAAAAGAACTGTTAAAATTAGCTCCTTAAAACTGAGTCCAAAATTTCATGTGGAAACAGGTTAGATTGGGACTTCCATCGTGGAAAACCAAAGCGAAAGTAATGAAAAGAAATCTGTCTTCTATTTTATAAAATATAGCTTATAATTGTATGTTAATTCTTAGAATGATTTGCCAGAATGAAACAAGTGAGGCTTTTTTGAGGGCCTGATTTTTCTGACAAAATTCTGTGATAGCCTTTGGGTTTGATTTTCTCAGCAAGATGGTTAAGAGGGCTTTCTCCCAAGGGCTTCTCCTCATGCTTTGCTATTTAATTCACCTCACTGAAGCACCTCTCCTTCACATAATTTTTGTCAGAGTTCCATTCTGGCAGGATTAACTGGTCTAATGTGTCCAGAACTTCCTTTGCCAGTGGCTTGGCCATGAGATTCATGTGTTTCGTCAGCTCCTTTGTCACTGACTTCATGAAATTCTGCACCTTGTATGTGGACCATACCCCACACTATACTTGAAAAATCAATCTAGTGTGTATCAACTGATTACATGGAAATGGATGCCTTAAAATGCTTCTAAGATACCAAACGAATCTTAAATACAGTTGACCCTTGAATAGCACAGGTATGAACTGAGAGGGTCTATTTCTATGTGGATTTTTCTTTTTCAGCAAATATGGTATAGTACTGTAAGTGTATTTTCTCTTCCTTATGATTTTTATTTTTTAGTTTAGAGAGAGAGAGGTGGGAGCAGGGGTGGGTGGGGGGGAGAGAAAATCCCAAGCAGGCTCCATGCTCAGTGTGGAGCCCAACTTGAGACTCGATCCCAGGACCCTGTGATCATGACCTGAGCTGAAATCAAGAGTAAGATGCTCAACTGATTGAGACACCCAGGTGCCTCAACACCTTATAATTTTCTTTTCTTTTTAAAATTTCTTCAATGTTTATTTTTGAGAAAGCACGCACATGAGAGAGAATGAGACAGAGTGTGAGTGGGGGAGGGGCAGAGAGAGGGAAACACAGAATCCGAAGCTGTCAGCACAGAGCCTGATGTGGGGCTTGAACTCATGAACCGTGAGATCATGCCCTAAGCTGAAGTCAGATGCTTAACCAACTGAGTCGCCCAGGTGCCCCATGATTTTCTTAATAGTGTTTTCTTTAGCTTATGTTATTGTAAGAAAATAGA